ACTTTCAGATTTATAAATGTATTTTATATATATATATATATATATATGGTTAGTGCTACTATGATATTGCTTTTCCATATCCAGGACATATATTTATTGTAAATGTGTTATTTAGCATTATAATCAACCTAAGTTCAGAATTATCGTATTCTGTTAAATGAATGCTTAATTGACTTAGATTTTTTATTCTCAAAACTGATAATATTTTATTCAATACCATTTGTGCTTTGAAGGAGAAATATTACAAATGAAAAAAAAAATATTTTCTTTTAAAATGTTATGTAAATAATACATATTATTTTCTACAACTGTGTAGGAAAATTAAGAAATTTGATGAAAATTGTTTTTGAATAAAATAACCAGCCTTTATTTTTAACTTTAAAATATCTAACGCAAAAACCATTTTTATAATTTAATGTATTTAGTGGTACCTAAAGGAGCAAATTATCTGACAGTAATTGAAAGAAAACTAATAGAAAAAATTCATAGGAAACTGATGTTAATTAAAAACTTACTTCCGATTTTTTTCAGAAAATTGGGTACAAAACCTTGAGTTTTTAATAAAATTATCTCCACATTTTTATTTTGGAAGTGAATATATATATATATATGTTTTATGAAAGTTTCGATTAAAATGCTTTTTTCCTGTAAATTTTCCTTTTGACTCTTAAATACTAACAGATTAGTTTTAAAATATATTTAAAATTGATTTCCATTATGCTGCTATAGAAAAATAAGATGTTTTTTTTTAAATAACTTTACTAAAATGTTCATATTTAACTTTTTTATACCTTTTATGCTGAGTATCTGATTTTTTTATACAATATATAAAGATTTCATGAAAAAAAGAAATAAGTCGATTTTTCAGTAAATTTGATGAGAAAAAAATTGACTAGAGTGATTTTTCTCCTATACAATTTTTATTCACTGAGTTAATTTTAAGAAGCAGTAACGTTCACTGCAAATTTATTGATTATCTTTTACTTTATTTTTCTAGTTTTATAGGAAATATTACCAAAAAAGGATAATATTCAGACAAAATATTTTTACTTAACTAAAAAGTGCACACAAATGATTCAAGTATTAGCTGAATTTATCCAATTATGTCCATAATTATGTAATAACACGTTAGTTTAGGGACAAATATGATTTTCCTTCCTGCATTTTTTAATTTAATTATATTTTTATAACATTTGTTCAATGTGCAGTATACATCATAAGAAAAAATAAATATTGAAGAGTGCTCTTTGCCAAATATAAAAAAAATAATTGCTTAAAGAATACAGTAAACATTATGATACAATAACTGAAGGAGAACTCTAGTTCATTTTTATCTAAGCTTTCGTAAGCATTTATGTTTGGTCCTATCTTTATAAGAAATATAATCCTCATTTCATTCGTTAAGAAATTGAAATATTGTCGACACTAAATACTAACTGCTGAGGTCTAGTAGATTTTGTTGTTAGATAACACCAAAAAATTGGTAACAATTTTTTTACATGAAGAGATATCCTAAGGGATTAATTATTATTAAGAAATAACTGAGATATCTGCATAAAATTTGTTCTGAATATTAAAAAATCTTTATGAACGTAATGTTTAAAATTACAGCTTTTTCTGTTCTTCTTGGTTTTGAAAAAACGTAAATGGAAGCAACCCACAGTAAAGAGAATATAAAGAGTCCTCAATCTGCTGAATTTTATAATGATGACCTTCGAAAGGGCAAGAAATCCTGGGCTAGGAGCAATACCTTATTCTGGATGATGACTATGTAGAGAGACGTCTTAAGAAAAACGAAAAAAAAATTAAGATTCTACCATTGTTAGCCATATTTACGATATTGCAGATTATATCAATCGACGTCTTTCTGAAACCAAGCAAATGAACGGTAATAGCTGTAATTTTAAACATTTTGTACTTACAGTTCAATTAATTCTTAGAATAAATTTATCTAGAAAGCCATATATTACTTTTTCGTAATATCTAAAATCTCACAATGCTCCAAATTACTTCAATTTACGGCTCACTGCAAGCAAACAAATTTACAGTAATAGCTGTAATTTACAGCTTTATATATATATATATATTAATAAGCAGAATAAATTTCATTGAGATCAACAGATTATTATTAGTGATATTTAAAACTTTATGATACTTCTTTGTAATTTAGAAGAGTTTTTAAAAATTCATGCATTTTGTAATTCTCTGAATATCATTCAATTGAGACAACGTAAGTACGAAATATCGAATAAAAACATTTACAAAGAAGAATATTCATAAGTTGTATGTAAAACTGAAAGAGAGGAGGTAATGGAAAATAAACAGGTCATCTGAAATCATTTGATGCGACTGTAAATGTTTAAGCGGAACATTGACCAGGAACCCTAAAGCGCCAACATGTCTCTCATGTCGGAACTGTAGGTATCGCATTTAACAGTGTGGTGCATTCTTAGAATACGGAGACTGTCTTCCAGAGTTTTAAATTCAATGTCAAATTAACATTAGCAAATTGTATAACTAGTGCTTGAATTAAGCTACGAGAGATAATTCAAGTGATCACAAATTAGAGTAAAACGTTAAATAAGAAGACGGTAAATGAAACCTTCATTTGGACAGAATATTAATATATTTAAATCCACGTTTAATTGTTAAGGAGTTATTGCTGGTGTTCTCTAGCTACATTGTGACTGCTGAGAGTAGTATAAAAGAGGCAAAGTAAGATGTCTGTAAAAATGTTTCAAATGTAGCAAGCGAGCCCTTTTAAATGAGGACCGAAGTTCGCCGGAGCTAGGCGAAACATTTCTAGAAAAGGGATACTACGCTTGCTCTCCAATCCAATGAACATGAAAGATAATTAATTTAGTCAGTGATACTCTAAGGGTCTTCTGCCCTTAGTCCCAAGTAAATAAGCTGACGGGACCGTAAAAAATTGCATACTAGTGCTAGATGATTGCGGTAGTGGGGTTGCTGCTTATCATTTTATAAACATTTTCATATGGAGTTACACAGAGAATAATAGCAATATGCTGAACATATCGATAAAGAAGTGCTGTTGCGAATTTGTGATCATTAGTATTATCAAAAATGTAATTTTATCTCATCATAATAGGGGCACATAAGAAAAACTCGGAAAGATTGTTTTCCTCTAGATGTGTACCATTTGGTTATACGGCAACGAAACTCTGAATCTGTCAATAACATACCTATAATATACTAGAATTGGAACGGGAGGATTACAATTTTAACTAGATTTTATTCCAGCACAATTACGGAAACAATTTATAAATTAAAAGAATTAAAAGAATAAATAATAAATGAACAAAATATTTATAAATAATAAAACATTAGATTGATATGATTAATACTTTATTTCTGCAAGCAAGAGCTAATGTTATCTGTCAAAAGTGAATGAAAATAAGTTTATGACGCAAGAGCCAAATTTAACTATGTTGTATCATACAATGTATGAATGTGAACTAGACGTAAGAAAAGATAGATGGGAAAGGAAAAAATGGGTGACAAGATGGGAAGGTCAAAAATGGAGAAGAACTGTTAGGGTGTCCAGGGTGCGCGCTACCCCTGTTTACCAAAGACAGAAAACCCATGTCTAAGAAAAAGATCACTAGAGTGACTCGGAGTCATGATTCCCGTACCTTCCGTTAATTGTCAAGAAATGTGAAGGTCTTAGTATACTGAATAAATGGCATAATATAGGGAGCATCATGATCACGTAATATCATCAATTTGAGCCAACATTAATGCCCCAAAATAATTCACAAAAGCTTTTCAATAATCAGGAGAATCGAAATATGCAGTACAAGACCTAGGATTCAACAGCAATAGAAATTCATTTGTCCCTACTTTTCTTTAAATTACAATTTCCATCACGTGGTAGATATAAAAGTTACATTTCCCACAAAACAATTAATAAAAATGTATTAAAAAATAAATATATTATAATACACTACAGAAATCTTACAAGGAACAGATATACCCACCAAAGGCTCTAACAGTTTAAAAATAATTATAAAATTATTTAGTTAAATATACAAATTGAAGCAAACAATAAGGTATTGAAGTGGAAAATAAGTACTTTCACAGAATATTAAAATTTAATCAAATAATAAATTATGAAATTAAATATAAATTTTTCCTCTTTCGTATGCACTTGATTAAATTAACATAGATAATATATATATATATATATAAACGAAATACCACTGACTGACTCATCACGATATCTCTAAGACTATACAACTGATTGACAACTGACTGCATGAACGAACTGAAGACGCTATGACATACGTAAGACAATTTGGACGTCCCAACTTGCTCGACTTTTATTTTTAGTATTGCAAATTTACGACAAAAATCTTATGATAGACACGATGTCATTGCGAGTGTATTTCATTTGAAAGTTAAACACATGATGGATGTTCTAACAAAAGGTAGTATCTTTTTCAATATTAGGTGTAACATGTATACAGTTGAATGAGTTTTATCTATCTATCTATCTATCTATCTATCTATCTATCTATCTATCTATCTATCTATCTATCTATCTATCTATCTATCTATCTATCTATCTATCTATCTATGTGTGTGTGTGTAGGGTGACTTTTGACCTTTTGACTATTTTTTTTTATTTTTCTCATATTTTTGAAAGTGGTGGATAACCGTTATTAAAGACAATCAATTTCTAAAAAATTTAAATTTAGATTATTTTTATCTCCTAAAAATTGAAAATTTTCTTGATATTTTGTGTATAGGTTGCGAAATATAATATTATCTTCTGCCCAGCGAAGTGGTGGGTATCATTTAGTAACGGTAATAAAAGAGTTTTTTATAAACATGGATTTTCTTTCGAACTTCGTATAACATAATTTTTGATGCCTTAAATTTGATGAGGGGATAGTGTAATTTGCTGGTTTCAATATTGAACTGTTTGTTTCAAAGTGAGTAGAAGGAAACCCATTAAGGAAGAAAGCAATCATCACCTTTGGAGGAACTTGGGGATCGATCCCAGGGCCTTTCACAGGCAAAGCGAACGCTCTACCACTGAGCTACATGTCAACTGTTTTATGTTCTAAGCAAGTGGAATTATGGGTAAAATTTAAGTCGTTAAATAATTAGTTTCAATCAATTAATTTTAATTATAATAAAATTATCGTATTTTCATTCGCAATATTCGTGTATAGAAAATTTCAGTTTAATTAAACGCTTTAAATTGTAAGAAAAAAGCTTATAAAGTTTTGGCCCAGACTTAGAGTGAGTAGAAGAAAATCTATTAAAAATATAGATTTGAGGAGGAAAGTAAGAATTCCAAAGGAAAAACGTTATGTTGACAAAATCGAAATGTTCTGTAGACTGGAGCCTTAATACGAAAATAATATTTTCAATCCAAGGATGAAAACAAGGAAAAAATATAAAAATATTTCTGTAGAAACTCAAGGGAAAATGCTTCGAATTGTCGCAAATGTGAGGAAATGCCACCTCAATTGAAAGTTTTGGCGATTTTCTTCCTCTATTATGGTAATTTCAAGCAATTTTCTTCCTCATATATGAACCTATTATGTAATAGTTAACTTTGCAAATTTCTTACGTTTTTCAGCTATTCTTCAAAAACGTAAGAGCTCTAATATTTATCACTTGTATTCTTGGCAAAATATTTGAATACGTTATATTTTTTTGCTTTTTCCCGATACGTTTTATTAAGAGATAATACTCGTATTTGTACCTATAACTTAAGAAGATTTTGATTTATTTGATTGTTTATAAGATCGCATTTAGGAGCAACTCGAAGGCTATTGGCAACGAATATTGTAATTTTGAACCTTGGACAAATGATAAAGATGACACCTGATTTTGCACTTATCTCTCTGACTTTCCACAATCCAGTGAGAGAGCGAATGTTTTAGCATGAGTAACATTAGAGATGGGTAAGCAAAAATAATGTGGGGAAGTTATTTAAGATTTTTTCGAATATATTTACTCTTTTCTTCATGCTTAGTCAAGAAGCTGTTGAACAAGAAATACAAATAATTCTCATTAAAAATTAAATAAAAAACATTCATTTTATTTTAAAAGGGGAGAGGGAATGCCTATCATTTTTGACTGAAAAACATTCATTTTCTGGCATTTTATATTTCATATTTATTTATTGGTTGTTAGTATGTGGCATAATGTTAATTATTTGAAGATAACAAACATCATTTAAAATTCAAATGTAAATAAGATTAGGTTGAATTGAAAATGCACCTGTATCTACGAATCCTATGATAGTAAGGACTTTTAGGGTATTAAAAATTCAAAGCAGATCATTTCTTGTAAATTAAATTGCATTACCTATTTAATATTTTATTTATTTGGTTAAAATTTTATAAATTTACCACTATTATTACTTCCAGTCTAATAAATCGATTGCTCGAGATATTATTTTACTTGAAAAAATCGAATTTCGACAAGCTGACGAGTTAATAGAGTGTAGAATTCTGTAACTTCTCATAATCTGCTTAACGAAATTTGCACACAAAATTTATAATAATTGATGAGTTTACCAATTTAAGAAATACGTAAAAGAAATTCTCATAATCAAATCATATATTAATTAAATATCGATTCTTATGTTTACATAATTGAAATATTAATTTTCTTAAAAAGATGAATTAAATCTTATTCTAAAATTGTTGTACATTAAATGTTTTTTTTTATATTTTGGATGCTAATGTAATAAGATTTCTTCATAAGAATTAACTAATTGTTTTAATAACTACTTAAAATGTTGATTGGATAAGGAACAATAAATTGTATAAAACTGTTATATTTTGTTTCGTTTCGTTAATGTTATTAAACATTTATTAATTGTTTTATAAACGACACACTTAGAAGCAAGAACTTATTATTTTGAAACTTCGTCGAATGAAGAGAATGACACCTGAATTCTCTCCCAACTTCTATACTTCGCTAAAGGGGATAACTGGAATCTTAACAGATTTAAAGTGCATTAGTGTACTACATGGTGGAGTGAAATTGGAGTCTACAAGTGAAGTTTCAGGTTAGATAGTTATAAATATAGCTTATAACGTGTATTTGCTATCTAGACATCTGGAAAAAAGGATAAGGATAAAAATTGGTTTACATGAAGTGTTGAAATTACAGTAGGAATTTTAGGGTATCCAAGTAATGGGTGTTTACCAGAGACAGTAAACTCCATTGGATAGAAACAAATTAATAGGACACTTCAAGTCCTTAATATTGATAACTGTTTAATGTTATACAAATAAGATATTACATAACGTTTTTTTAACAGAGGCATGTTAATGAACGCATTTTTTTTTCAAAATCATTAAGATTAAAACTTTATTTATCCGAAACCTTAAAGCATCATCTTATATCATGCGTCACATCTCTATTAAACAATATATAAAGAGTTCTACCATTTAATCAAATCTTTAAAATTCTTATTTAGTTTGGTAAACAAAAATAGTAGTCTTAACATTTCAAGCAATTCTGCATCGAGTCTCATCTCATTGAAGTATAATTAGGGTGTTCTTAAGTGCACCTCATCTTCTCCATTCTCCTAGAAACACTTTCGTCCATTCCATCACCTTTTGACAAAGTGTTTCACTAAAATTGATGAGTTCCGTCTCCTAAGTCGAGGCTCTTAACTGCTTTCCACTACAATCTCTTTCATATGAGCCTGTGTTAAAAGAGCCCTTTCTGTCGCCTATAAAGAATAAGTCTAACAAGAATTGATTTATAGGGGAAATGAGAGAGAGAGAGCGGACCTGTCTGCTTGATTTAAAGTGCTTTTGCGAGAAGCGCAACTCATAAATCCATGAGGAATTGGTTTATGAAGATTTTCGTCGAATTTTAAAGCCTTTTCTACGATTGATTTATTATGGGATTTGGAAGTTTAATACGGTGAAATGGGTTCCGGTGGTCAATTGTGATTTTAGAAATATAACCTGTGTGCTGTGAAGCGATGTTTTACTGAAATGCTTTTAAGTTTGAAGAAAGGTTTGATAATCTAATTTAAGAAAATATAATTTAATTTTTGGAATATTTTATTTTGATGTTAATATAAGCCTGCAAGAAATTTACGAAATTGGTAATTGTGCTTAAATAGGAGTAAAATATAATTGTTTTATCAATAATATTCAAAACTGTGTCTTACTAAATAAAAAAAAATACATTATTATATATGTAACAAACATTAACAGAAAAAAAAGTCTTAATTCCAATTATAAAAATTGCCAGTTGCTTATATTAAATATCTTTTACTACAAAATTGTCAAACTGAAATAATAAGTAGCCTTTAGCTCCGACTGTACCGAACGGATACGAATGAAACTTTATATATGTATTATGAAAATCATGGGACTACTGTTAAGCCGAATAAAAAAATTAATAATTTGATTTTTTACAGATAGAGGGAGCTGCTATCAATTAAAGGGTAAGAGAATACTACGAATTTTTAAAATTAAAGAAAACCATTAAATTTATTCATTCCATTTATGTCAGCTCAATGTGAATAATCATGTCGGTCAATAATGCGATTGCTTATGAACGTCGTACTAAAAAGCATTTTGGGGGGCAATTGAAGACGGTAAGATGACGAGGATTACACATGAGCTCACACCTCTCTCTCCAAACTTCTACACCATGCCAACTGGAGGATTTGAGACTTCGATTAGATTTAACATGCATTAGCACCGAAAGCAATATGCAGAAAGCGTACCACCACGTCATCAAAGACCTCAACATTTCTTTCAAAATGGTGGAAACTTGAATGGAATGGAATGCTGACCTTCAATTTTACTTCCTTATTCACACGTCCTTGATACATATGATCCTTTAGGAGATCCCATAGCCAGAAGTCACGAGGATTCGTATTCGGTGGTTTGGTTGATCAGAGTGTCTGTCTTGTACAACTATGTCTTGTACCAACAGAGGTTAATCCATCATAGTAGAAAGCACAAGAAATAATGTTTTAAATACAAGTCTGATATCAAAGAATTATACGTATTTGCAAGTTTATAGTAACTTAAATAGGTTACAGATGGCGCCATCTAAATCTGTCAATAAATCTCAGCCACCCAATCCTCTCTGAAAAGCAGACAAACTTTAGGGTCTTCGATCCTTATCTACGAAATCTAAAATCTATTCAGAACAGTCTTGCTTCATAGTAGCTTCTGGCTTGACTTATCACTCACTTACTCTCATTCTAATTACTTCTGAAAATTTCACAATGAGAAATTTAGCTAAAAACAGCTTAAAGAATTCACTGCTATTATTAAATTTTCTCTGAAAATCATTTCCTTAGGAAATAACTTCTTTCATTTCTGTTACTCCATATTGGTGTACTATAGGTGTTAGGAAACTGACGTTAAGACTCTGATATGGTCCCATCATCATTGTTAAAAAATTATGATATCCGTTTTTAATAGCCCTTGTGTTGCTAGAGATTAGTTTAATGAACAATTTAATATTATCATTTCTGGAAACTCCTTAATTCATTAATTAAGTGAAATAGTATTCTCTAAATGTGTTAGGAACACTATTAGCTTAATACTTAACTTAGAAATATAAATATAGAATATTGGTTTCATTTTTGTACAATAAAATATAATTTCATATTTTCAGAAAAGATTACAATATATATATATATATATATATATATATATATATATATATACTGTCTGCCCTATTCATATAATATTGTATCGGAAAAATAAAATACTCGAGCTTATCTAAAATTTAGTCATTCTAATATTGTAAAAGTTACCTTCTAATTGGAAATGCCTTTTAGGAAAGCTGTAAAGTAATTACGTACTTAAAAACATATTCTGAGTTTAATTGTCCCTTTAAGAACATTCGAGTGGAAAAGTTGAGGAAAAAGAAAGTGACAATTAAAGGAAACTACACTGCGTCGGAATTGACATTAATTAAAAAAACAATCCAAATCACCTTCTTTCGATTTCTTTTAAGACAATTAGGTACAAAATTTCTATCTTCTTTTAAAGCTTCCATCTTCTCTTTATAAGTTAAAGCAAATATATATAAAC